GTGTCTTCGCTAAGGTAATTAATGTGACAAGTATTGAAATGCACATATTTTACAAACACCATTGATTAATGTAAATATTAAGGGTAGATGTAGACTTGAGGGGGAGTACCCCAACTAGATTACGTTACACTCTTTTCCTTTACCCAAGTTTTATTTTTTTTTCACTGGGTTTTGTTATTTGGTGTTGGTCCCTGTTTATACAGATTATAATCTAACAACAACCACAATATTATAGAAGCAGAGAATCACAGAATGATTTCACAATATTTGAACGATGAACTCCCTCTTTCTTATACCGTATAAGCTCTACAAAATGATATATGCGTTAATGTGCGTAGAGGCTTAATACCGGCCTTCAAGTTCCAAAAATCGAAGAAATAAAGAGATAATGGCACGCTGATTTATACCTTCTCTTCTCGAGTTGGCCGATGTGCCCTAAGCTTAGAGTCGTCGTCGCGATTCTCTCTGGTTGAGCGAGCAAGAGGAGAGCGTTGAAGGAGCAAGAGATTAAAGTCGTCTTCAGCCTAGGGTTTTTACGAAGGAATTGTGTCTGAGTTGAAGAGAGAAACGAGAAGGCTATCTATGTACATAGTGGGCTGATTGTTGGAGCAGGTCGGGAAATAAAAGTTACCAAGTGTTGAATTGGAAAGTAAGTGAAAAGTTGTGGTGGGGCAAAAAAATGGGGAGACAAAGATGTGGAGGGAAAAATAATGGATGAAAAAAATGGAGGGAATTAAAAAGTTTCAGCCAAAAATTCGCATCTAATATCACTATTTTTATTGATATTATAGTGTCATGAGTTAATGACACTTTTTAGTTATTGCATTTTTCAGTGACACTAATTTTAAAATTATGATAAAAGTAGTATTTTTTCAAGCTTTTTTAATATTATGATATTCCAATTTTACCCTTTTTATTGTGTGTAAGTTCATTTCCTTTTATAATATAAACGCACGGAAACAATATGTGTGTTATGGGCGATTGGGCGAACAATGGAAATAGGAAAAATAATGGCTTATAAAAAGAATCACTGATACCTTTTATAAGGTAAATTATGATGAGAACCGAAGGGGGTGACTGGTGAATGGTTGATATATATGTTGTGGATATCTACTGACTCCATGCTTGTTAATCCATTAACAGGTCAGCCCTATTGAATATGGCCATGTCCTGTTGGTTCCTAAGGTTCTTGAATGCCTTCCCCAGAGGATTGACAGAGACAGCTTCTTGCTTGCACTTCACATGGCTGCAGAAGCATCTAACCCATACTTCAGGGTGGGCTATAACAGCTTGGGGGCATTTGCCACCATCAACCACCTTCATTTCCAGGTACTCCCCTTGTCGGTCTGTCTTTTAAGAAAGAGTCACTTTTGAAATCTTTCCCCCTAATTAGTTTGAAGCCTGGTTTAATAAGTCACTTTAACTAGTTTTTTTATTGGAATAATAAGGGGGGATAGTAAGTCCCTTGCATAACATTTAAGGAGATAAGTAAAGATTGATCAAGTAAAGATCAAGGAGATACTCTATGTTTCACATATTCAAGGAGATAAGTAAAGATTGATTAACGTTTTTTGACTGTTACTCTTATATATCATAGGCATACTACTTTACTTGGCTGCGCCCTTTCCGATTGAGAAGGCCCCTTCAAGGATAGTAACCACTGCTGCAGGTGGTGGTGTGAGGGGTCTCGTCTTTGATGGGGTGATTACCCTAGATGATTTGGCTAGTGTTGTCTCGAGTTCATGTATATGCCTCCAAGAAAACAACATTCCTTATAATGCCCTCATCTCTGATATGGGGTAAAGAGTTTTCCTCATTCCTCAGGTATGCCTATTTTTTCTATATTTATCATTTTTTAGTCAGAGCAATGTTGAGAGTATGTGTTGATCAGATTAAATCCTAGGAAAAGGGAAAAAATGTTCGAAGGAATTTTTTTTTGCATCTGGTTTTACCTTCGAAGAAAATGAAAAAAATGAGTGATGTTTGCAATTTTTTTTTTACATTTGTTTAAATTCCGCAGTCAATATATTCAATGTTGTCACGGCATCTATGTAAGGCACGGTGCTAGCTAACAGCCTTGTCACCTAGGTGACTAGACGACAGACAACTAGCCGTGTGCAATATTCGAATATAACAAAATATCTTATATAAATGCAATACTTGATATAGTTTATGATTTACTAATTCATCATGTTAACTCAACAAGAGTCTTTATCTATTTATAATACTTTAAGCTACAAAAAGTAGTTTAAAGTTTAATATGGTTGATATCTAAAGAAGCAGAAAAAATATAAAAAAAAAAAAGTTGAACACAAGAAAAATGAAAATGAACAGAAAGGAATATAAACAGAAGGAAACTGAGATAGAAAATGGACGCTTGAGGGATTGAAGTGCTGGGTCAAAATTGATTTGGCAAAAACTCTGTCCTGGGCACCCTATGAATGCCTAGTTGAGGTAGAAGCGCTGCCACTAAATGCTTGTCGCCCTTCAGGCAATGCAACCAGCCATGGCCAGTTCTTTCCACTGCCAGGACACCTAAGCGTCGCCTAGATGATGCAATGGCAACTATGACTATATCGTAGAAATAAAAGATTAATCAAGTTTCAAAGAATATAAAAAATAAAGATATTGAGTTTGAGTAGATGTTTGAATCCCTCACATTTTCCTGTTTTCCAAGATATTTTATTCCTTTTCATTTGCTGGATACCAAAAGGGGTGCTTATGCTCTCTCTATCTTGGGAGTTTAAGCTTTATAGTCTATCCCTTGGTGAGTCAGTGACATGCTTTGCAGATAATGTAGATTTAGTCGCTCAATGGTTATAATAAATGAGATACAGTATACCCCGTCGGTTTATCACTCCCTATAAAATCATTGTCCAGTATCAAGGTTTATGAGGGCGTTCTCTTTAATATCTGGGATTATTTATCAATTATGCGCATCTCTCTATTGGAAGGAAATGTGTATGTCTGATAGTCAGTCAATTGTTATCTGTGGCTCCCCCCTGTCTAAATAAGGCAAGCCATGATTTTTTTTTCAACATAAAATTATATGAAATTTGCTTTTTGAACCATGTAATCGTTTGTTTCTTTTAAATGCATTATTGGTTGTACATTGTACTAGACTAGATTATTTTAGATATAGAATGTCGACAGGGTAAAATAAGAGTCATTATTGAATTTCAAAATAGGATTCATGTATTACTTTTTCCTGAAATAAGAGTTATTATTGCCAAAATGATTGTAGTACTAGACGTTAAAATGACAATATATACCATTAATGAGGACTCTCATTTCTGGAAGAAAAATATAGCATTCTTATTGTAAAATTTCCCACCTTTATAAAGAAATGCCTTCTAAGCTTTGGATTTGGAATTTTGGAGTGGTTCATTAGTTTTCATGTAGACTCATTCTTCTTCAATTGCAATGAAGAAGAATAAAGCTGTATCCATGCCGGTTGCAAAGAAAAGTCGTAGTCACCTACAAGTGCACTAACACAGACTATCTATGCATTGTCGTTTTATTATTATATGATGATTTACATTTTTTTAAAAAAATGGCAGAAACAATTATATGTTACACCTTTTATGTTATTATTATAGCTTCGCTGCAATTAGTCTTGGACTCGGGTCGGGGCCGGGCCGGGCCGCCGGTTCTGAATAGATGGGCCCGGGACCCGCCTGGGTACCCACCGGGTCCGATCCGGGTCCGGGTCCGGGCCTATTATCAATTTTTTTACCTCTTCCTAATTAACCCCCCTCCCACCCCCAACCCCCAAACCACCCCAAATGGCCCCAAATACCCAGCCCCACCCGAAAATTTAAAAAAATTGAAAAAAAAATCAATTTTGGCCCGAACCGGGTCCGGTCGGACCTTGTTTTGGGTGACCCGAGCCTGGACCGGAAAAGCCACGGGTCGGGCCTACCCGGACCGGTCACTGACCGGGCCACTGGGTTGGAACAGTACCAGCCCCGGGCCGGTTCCAGGTCAGGTCGAGTCCACCACTAGCTGCAATGCTAACGTAAAACTTTAGAAAGTTCGAAATAACAATGTACCTCTTCATTTAAAAAAAGGCAAGTGTGGAGTTTTAAAAATGTGATAGACTAGTCACTTTTGTATATAATTAAAATGTAAATTATAGTACACCCCTGTATATTTATTTTCATTTTGTAAAATAAATTTGATTTAAAGAAAGTGTGGAAGTGCAATGTTATGGAAACTGGAAAGTGCAATGACATGAATGTGCAGTTCATAAAAGTGATTGTATTACTACAATAGACTAGTCATTGATGAATGTACGAATTATTAAAAGTGCAAAGACAGGATATTTAATTATATTGGTCTCGTATAAATTTCGAATACGAGTAGCTATTCAATATGGGAGTTGTAATCAACATTCCATGTTGACTGAGTTACCATGACTTACATCCTTCCACATGCTCTGTCGAGTCAGGACGTGGGGTCCCTTGGGGTTGGGATTCAACCTTTTTGGAACAATAAAAGAATTCAACATGAATAATAATGCACATTTGAATATAGTTTTTAAAGAATGACATAAATATTACTATCTACCTCCCAACATATAATATGCATATGAGTTTAGTGTGAGTTTTAAGGAAATAAAGAATAAGGTGATTGTTTTACCATTCAAACCTCCAAAAAGTAAGAAAATGCATCACTTGAATCGAAAAGAGCATTGTGCATGACATTAAGTGCAATTGTTCACACTTTGCACAAGAACATCACTTTTTTTTTTGGAATCGCACCATATATGTGTGTTTGGAAAAATAAGCACCCAAACTTAAACATATAATATGTATACTCCAAACTTTATATAAATAACTACTTTAGCATCATGATCATATTTTTTTTCACAAAAAAAAAACATTTATGAGTATGCAATTAAAAATAAATTATACTGAATGTAACATTATTTATTTCACAAATGAAATCTTAGATTGTTAATTGCAATCTAACAAAGCATAGAGTATTTTAAATTATGTAATTATTCCAATAAATTTATGCTCCGTATTTGTAAACAAATACAACCATGGTAGAACACCACATTTTTAGAGTTGTTAATCATAAATTGTATGCAACAAATATATTCTTACTTTTAATGGGAAATCCAGTGCAAGTGCAAAATGTTAGAAAAACTAAAGATTTAAAAAACACCTCTAGCGTTGCATTCGATTAAACATAGTACATGAAGGAAAGAATGAAAGATAGTACTACTACTAGGTAAGACATTCACGTAAAAGTGTAAAACCCCAACCAAACTCCGGTTCAGCTCCATCATGAGGACATTTGCGGACCCTCCCACGCCCTAGGCTTGGACACTCAGCATCTACAAGACCATGCGACTATGCCAGGCTGTTCTTACAACTATATTAAAACTAACATTGATACATGGGTGGATTATGCTAACCTGTGTTGTACTTTGTGATAAAAGCAAGTCCTTTTCATGCGAATGGTGGTTGTAGAAAATCAAGGCAGAAGAGCTGCAGATTTGAATAATTTGACCACTAACAGTAAAGATCAACATCTCTGGGCAATTCAACTCATCAACGGGCTCGATGAAATGAATTGGTATAAGTGTCGGATGTGAAGGTATCTCCAAGTCTTATCAACCCTGACAGTCAATATGTCACGCCTTGGACACTTCTATTCAGTAAAATATTTGAGAAACCCCTTATACCGTGTTGACATGGCTGCATATCCTATGCCATATAAGTATATAACCGAGTTTTATATGGTATGGCAAACTTTAGGAAGCATAAAGGCATTCAGTTTGTGCATGAAAACATTTAACCATTGAAAAATAAAATACATATGAAACTCTTGAGTATTTGAAGTAAATCGAAGTCCATCTCCATCATTCAGCATGAAGAACGATATCATGATGTCTCTGCAAATTCAGCAGCACATTGCAGTAGAAGCACAATGTTAAGAAAATGTCCAATGGATTCTAAGCTATTGGGATTAAAGAACTTTTTGGGAACCAAAAAGTGTGGCATATTACCTGGGAAACCACTACAATCATGTGGTTTGGTTTGTACATCTTTAGCCTTTGTTTGTTCGCCCACTTTGTTTTGGCTAAAAAGAAATAAAATAAAGCTCAGTGAGAAATGCATATTACTACTCTTATAAAAGCGCAATTTGTTAAGCCTTTGTCTATTCTCTGTTTTTCATTAAACAAAGAATACTGTTTAACAAATAACACATTTTTATGTAACTTAGATAATTAGATTAGATATTTCCATCATTTGCAATGGAGCCAAAGATTCATTATTTTTTGGCTTGAGAATATGATGGAATAAAGCAAAATGGCACTAAACTGTTTGCGCTTCTTTGTTATGAAGCGGCAGTAAGTCCATGCAATTTTGGACGCGATTTTCACTATGGGTCATCCGGAAACAATCTCTCTGTGCTTTAGTACAGGGGTAAGAATGCGTACATCCGGCCCCCCTCTTACCCCACCGTAGGTGGGAGCCTTTGCGGCACTGGGGTAAATGAAAATGATAGATAATTAGATTAGATAAATTAAGAGTTACAAATAAGTTAAATAAGATTAATTTAATTGAGTAATTTTGGGGTGGGCAAATGGGTATAGGAACCGCGGGTTGGGGCAGGTCCTAATTTTAGAAAACCCAAACTGGGCGGGGCGGGTCTTAAAATTTTAAGAACCGAACAGATCCTAAAACTTGGAAAACGGGTACCCAAACTGACCCGTTTTAATATATTATTCTAATACTCCATTATACGTAGTACGTAGTATTTAACATACATGCAAAAGCTCTTCATTTTCTTGTGTCTTAGACAAAGATTTTGAATTGAAGAAACTCGTGAGTCTATTAAAACACTTTCAAAGTTCACGTCTTAAATTATATAAGCTCCTTTATTTAATCTTCCTAATTACACTTACATTTTGAGATTTATTAAGCTTTAAAATGTTCTTTTAAACCATATGTATAGACTACAGTGACAAGTTTAATTTTTTATAACTCCGTGGTGCTACTTTTTTAGATTATGGATGGTGTTTTCTAATTTTCTATATTTCAAAATTCGGTGTTGTTTAAATTGTGTGGTTGCGTGCTCTTTGGTTTATTGATTTGTGCTCTAAATTTTTATTTTTGAATTTTTAGCATATTATGGTGACATTGATATTTATTTTGACAATATTACTATGTATTACTTAGAATCTACTTTGCTAGTATTCTTTTACAAAGAAAAGAACCGGGAACCAAGACTGAACCGGCTCACTTAAACCGGGGAGGATAAGGTCTGGTTCCTATTTTGAGACTTGGTATACCCGAACCAACCCATTTAATGGAACCGCAACGGTTCTTGAAAATTTATCAATTGCCCGGACATACCCAGATCGTGTTTTCATGCCCACCCATAGATCAAATAACAACCCAAACAGGATTGATGGCTTTGAAAGGTTCAACTTTCCAAATAAAATATATCAAACACGACTCTTGTATTTCTGACTACCAATAATATGAACACAAACTATTAAAAGTTTAAACTAGATTATATGAACTAACAGACCTTTCTGTACTAGTTTCCTCATGAGGCCTCATAGCTGGAAAGAATATGACTTCCTGAAAATGCCCCAAAATGACATGAAAACAGATAAATAGAGGACTCAAACAGAACAAGATAATCCATTGATACCACCTCATAAGTGAACAAGAAGTACAACTCTAACCTTGATGTTTTGTGAGTCAGTCAAAATCATTGCAAGTCGATCAATACCGATTCCCCATCCAGCTGTAGGTGGTAATCCATATTCAAGTGCTGTGCAGAAAGTTTCATCAAATGCCATTGCTTCATCATCACCAGATTGCCGGTCCTGAATCAAATATAAAACGCATATTCAGTATTCACTTAAAAAGTTAAAAGTTATGTGCAATAAAAAATACTTTTAATCAAAAGACTAGTGAACATCATACGTGTACCTTAAGCTGGTCAGCAAAGCGTTGACGTTGAACAAAAGGATCATTCAACTCAGTGTATGCATTGCAAAGCTGTTGAATCGGGCAATAATGCACCAAATAAGAATACGTTACGTGGCTCAAGAATTAAATATTAAAAAGAGAGCATATGTACTTCATGCTTATTGACAAACAGCTCAAATCGTTCAGTCAACCCAGGCTTAGACCTATGCCATTTTGCGAGTGGACTCATTATTTCCGGATGGTTGATGATAAAAGTTGGATTAACACACATCTCTTCAAGGAAGTGCCCAACAAGCTGAAATGTACACACATGTCAAACACTTGATTAAATGAAAACTTTGATAAATAGATATAATATTTTCTTTTCAGCTAATGAAGGTAATTGAAGATTGATGAACTATGCACAGTGAAAATCATGGAAGATTAAATTTAACCTTTTTCAAGAACTACATTGATATTACCAATCTTCTAAACCATAATGATTACATCTATGGTATGGAGAAATTCAAAAGCCTAAAAACTTTACTTTATCAAGCAATCTAGATGTAGTCTGAGGGGGGGCACATTTTATCGCAAACTTGGTGCATGCATCCACCAGATACTTGTTAGCCTCATCGCTAGCAAGATCCTTGGGTATACTGAGATTTGCCACTTTCTCTAGCCCTTCTATCATTTCAATCCTTCTGCAAAATTCAAAATAAATAAAATTATTTTGAGCATTCTCACGTGCATACAATATTTAACAAAAAATTAAAGTTGTGACCTGAAAGGTGGAGTGAAGTCTATCTCAATTGGGTCTTTCTCCACACCATTTGTGTGATACTTAATTATATAGCCACCCGTAAGCTCCTTCACCATACCTAACCACAGATAAAAGGTTAAGGAAAATTTGAAGAGGCAAATAAGATTCCAAAACATTAACACACGGCACAGAAAAATTATATACTAATATGTAATTTAGTCATATTATTACCACTCACCACTAAGCATTTGCTCAGTAAGGCTCATCAAGTCATTGTAATCTGCGTAAGCCATATAAAACTCACAGGTAGTGAATTCAGGATTGTGTGTCAAATCAATACCCTCATTCCTAAATTGTTTCCCAATTTCATAGACACGTTCCAGTCCGCCAATAACTAGCTGTTTAAGATAGAGTTCAGGTGCAATGCGCATGTAAAGCCTCATATTCAATTCATTGTGGTGAGTAACAAAAGGGCGTGCAGCTGCTCCTCCAGCAATCATATTCATCATGGGAGTCTCAACCTTTAAATTAAACAATTATAGCAGAGAGTACACCAGGAAATGAAATCGGTGCATTGGCGTAGTTTAAAGAATCAAACATATTAATAGGTTACTGACCTCCAGGAAGTCAAGATTGTTAAGGAAACTTCTTATGAAATTTATTATGATTGTTCTCGTCTTAAAGATATGTCGGGCCTCTGGATTCACCATCAGATCCAAATAGCGTTGTCTGTACCGTTTTTCCTGAAGGAATGCTCTAGATTCAGTTACTACAGATACCTATATATATAAATGCATTAGGAAGAGGGTGGAAAAGGAGGTAGAAAACAAACTCCACCTGATCTTTCAATACAAGAGTGTCTGGGTTTCTAGGCATTCCAGGGGCCCATTCATCAGTTTTCTGTAAATCGTAGAATATTGTAAGAAACAGATTGAAACTATTTAAAGGCCACACAAAAAATCTCTGACCTTGGATTTAGTCTGGGCTCCTTTGTTCTGTGGCATCATATGGACACAATGACTTAACACTGTAAATGATTTGACAAAAATACTCAACTCTCCTCTTTTTGTTTTACCTGAAAGTAGTAGTAAAAATTATTAACCGGGAAACTAGCTTGTCAGACAAGGATGTCAAATCGCATCTTCATGTTTTCATCTCATATTGTAATATTAGTCTGCAATACTGTGTATCAAATTACGGATCAGAAACATATAAGAGTTCCAAACCTGGGAACCCAACGATTCCAACAGTATCACCACGCTTCACAGAAGAGTGAAGTTTAATGAAATCCTCCTCATTCAACTCAGATTCACTAGACAAATAGATATCACAGGTTAATATTTAAGGGCATTAAAAAGTAAAGTAAATTTAGTGCAATATCAGTCTATGATGCTAAAGTTGCAGCAGTGGAGATATCAAAAGCTACATTTTCTTTAACAGTTTAACGTACTGTGCAACTAAGTTATAATAATTATGCAAATTTGAGTGAAAATAAATGAAGGAAATGGAGTTTGCAGACAAATTTTCAGGTAAATTGAGTTTGCACCCCCATTTTCAAAATAATTGGAATTTGCACCCTAAACATTACAGTTTGTACCCCATTAGTTCTTTAGATTGGAGTCTACACCACATTAGTTCTATTGAATTGAAGTTTGCAACCCATTTTCAAAATACTTTTTGGACTTCAGATTCAAATTCAAATGTGACTAAATTGGTTTGAAAATCAGTACCTGGCATCCGCCTTTACTTGAACTTTGGCGCCCAATCCATGCAAATCATAGAACACCAGCTTCGATGACTGTCTGCGATCGAACATTATCCGGCCTTTCCATGACATAAACTTCAAGCTTTAGTAAAACTTATTACATATGAATATCAATTGAGAACCAACAATTCAATAGGGATTGAGAACATGTACCCGCTAAAGAAACTTGCTCATCGCCATGCTCCCCGCTTTCTAGTTCCTTGTATTTCTCAATGAAATCGGGAACAGTCATGGATACTTCATGTTTATGTGGGTAAATATTTTTCCCAGCTTCCTTCTCAGACATTAGTGCTCTCCTTCTGTTCTCAAAGTATTGCTGCAGAAGATTCAAAAAGAAAAAATGGTAAACTACACATGATTTACAAATATTGACGAGTAAATGTGATAGTGAAGCAAGAACTTTACAGTGGGATCCAATTCGTCATTGCTGCCGGACTGTTCCTGTACTTTCCGGCCTTTCCCCATTGTTGAGTGTCACTCCTCTGTTCTGCTAAAGGGTTTTACGAACCCTACGTGAATCAGTGTATGTATTATGTAATATTGGGTCGGGTGGAATGTTTCTGGAGGTCGGCATTTTCCTACCTAAAAAGTAAAGACCAAAACCCATTTAAACGAGCTAGAGACCAAAAAAGTAACAGTGATGTTCTATGATTTACACCCATCAGTTTGTTTTTACTTGGACTTTAATTCATTCCAGACCAGACCAGATCAGACCAGACCAGACCAGACCAGATCAGACCAGACCAAAACAAACCATACCAGACCAGCCCAGCCCAGCCCAGCCCAGCTCAGACCAGACCATACCATATTTTATTATTATTGTTGTTGTTGTTGTTGTTATTGTTATTATTATTATTATTATTATTATTACTATTATTATTATTATTATTGTTGTTATTATTATTATTATTATTGTTGTTGTTGTTGTTGTTGTTGTTATTATTATTATTAGGGGTGTGCACCGGTTCAAAACCGGACCGGACCGTACCAAACCGGACCGGAACCGTAACCGAATTTTAGAGACCGTTTAGTAGTACTGAAATTAGTGGAATCTGTTGAAATGGATGAGATTCTGAGAAAAATGGTTGAATTAGTTTAATCTTTTAGTGTGTTGATAAATTTGATTTAAATTACTTTTATTAATGAAACAAAGAAAAACATTATATGAAATGTAGCTAAAACGATCACCTACAGTAACTTCCCCAATTCAGACAACAAAATAGATCAGAAAATGTATATAAATAATTTTAAGCATAATTATAGAGACCGTTAATAAATTATATTTTTATATATTCAATATTGATCTCATATGCAAGATCATAAAAAATAATGAATTTTGATATATTTTTTGTAAAAATTGAAATAAAAATGAAAAAGTTAAAACACTTTAAAGAAAATTGGGATTTTTATAGCTTGGGCCCACCATCTACATCTCCTACGGCTTACGGCTGCTCCCTTCTATTTTCAATAGGAGAAGATCGGTATTTGAAGTAAAATGGCCACGTGGCATTGCTGTAGCAAATGAGTGAATTAAGAAGAGTCGGACACATAGGATTAATGAAGGGTAAAATGGTATTTATATGAACTATTTCTTTTCTTATATATAAATAGATAGACAAAATTTTAGCATGCTGGAAGGAATATTATTATTTTTAATTATAAAAAATTAATTATGGATCATTATATATATAAAAAAAATTATGCAAATAATATAAAAAATAAAATTTCAGATCAGACCAAAACAGACCAGACCAGACCAGACCAAAACAGACCAGACCAGACCAGCAAATTACAGTCCAAGTAAAAACATCCTTAGACGACAGTTCAAAACAGTTAAGCTGAAATGCATTAAGATTTGTCGTTAGGTGGCTAATATTGCTGAGTTATGAAAAAAATAAAATTTAAATATATTTTATTAATAAAATAAATAAAATAACTAAAATAATCTTAATCATTTCAATCATTTTAGCCAGAAAAATAACATAAATCTTTCTTATTTTATTATTAAACTATTTAGCACATTAAGGACATGTTTACTAACAGAGATATTTTTCTGTTTTCTACTTCTGTTTTTCGTTCTCCAATTGTCTGTTTTTGTTTTTCAGTTTTTCTATCTACAGTTTTCCGTTTTTATTTTCTAGTTTTCAATTTTCAAATCTGAAAACATGTTCATCTATTTTTTTCACCCAGTTCTGTAATCATCCAGAATACTGACACGAGGTGGTGGGGCCGGGAACAGGGTGGGGCCGAGGTAGGGGAAGGGGTAGGGTGAGGGGTAGGATGGTGGTGGGGGTAGGATGGTGGTAGGGTGGGGCCGAGGTAGGGGGCATGTGGGAAGGGTAAATTAGGGGTAAGGGGTAATACACGAGGTGAGGGTAGAGTGGGTCGGGGTGGGGTTGAGGTGGTAGGAGGTGGCGGTAGGGTATGGTAGATCGGGGTGGGACCGAGGTAGGGGCATGTGGTAGGGGGTGGGGGTAGGGTCATTGTAGGGAAAAGGGGTATGTGGGGTGGGGTTGGGTGGGTAGGGTAGGGTAGAGGTAAGGGGTAAGGTACGAGGATAGAGGTACTCGAATGGAATCGACATTGGAGCGGGACCGGACCCATCACTAGATGTAAGTATGCAAAAAGATAGATTTTGAAATGTTAGAATAAAACAAATTTAACAATAGCTTTTTCAAAAAAAATTATTAATGCAATAATAAATAAAATATCGTCAAAATAGAACATGTGAATAGTGTAAAATTCAACATTTTGCACTAAATTAAAAACGAGGTGGTGTGAAATGGAGTTCGGAGACGTTCTTGGGTATTTCTTTTCTTTCGTTAATTTAATACAAATGGATGATATTCTTCATATGCATGAACTAATTTACACTATTTTGGGTTTGGGACCATGTTTTATAAATTGGAGACGGGAGAGCATCCTTGGGAAATCGTTCATTGTCTAAGGAATGTTTGAGGGTCTATATACAGATATATTCACATGTAAAATTGGTGTTAAGTATTCAAACAGCTCATTAAATTTACCTTTTATTAATTATTTTTAGATTTGGAGGGATAATTTTAATTTGACCGATAATTGTATTAAGCACATTTTTACTTTAATATTTGACTATTGTATATGTCGTAAATTAGATTTATATTACATGATTTAATTTATTTGTCAGTTATATTTCATTGACATGTCATTTGATAATACCGTAGTATGTTATAAGCATCTTGTTTAAATAACTTAATTAATACCCCGCTTAATGTTCTTCATGGTTTTAATTTAAGTCGGGGAAACATATAAATGCATAACAATAGTTGGAGTTATGCAATATAATGTGGAACACGGCTTTGTAAGTTTGGATAAACGGAAGCATGTCCCTAGAACTCTAGGGACATGTTTACTTCACGGGCTTACTAGATGATGCTTATTAGGAATCACGTTAATAAGCGGAGCATAAAGTAAGTAATGTTGTAGTCTCATGTTTACTTCAAAGGATTTAAAATACCGTTTAATATTAAAATGTCCAAATTAACCCTATACATATATAGACACGTAAACATTCATGTACACAAGTATATATAATATAGAGCCCGTTTGGTGACCCCTTTTTTCGCCTTATCAGGCTTATCAATCAGCTTTTTCACCAAACACGTAATTGTTGATTTCGCGTGCTGAAGTTTGTAATAAGCAGAAAAAGTAAGGTTGGAGTTACTTTTCTGGCTGTTTTGACTGAAGTTACTGTAGAAAATCATTTTAGCTATTTTTTCATATAATTTTTTATTTAATTTATTAATAAAAAATATTTTAAATATAATTTTTTCATGAATCAGCAGAATCAGCCATAATGTGTGTGGGGGCACGCCCCTAAACCCTGCTTTACCCCTACTCGTACCTCCACCCCTTACCGTACCCCGCTCCTACCTTACCTTACACTCTACCCCCAATTCCTACACCCTACCCCTACCACGACCTTACCCCCAACCCCTACTCCCATACCACCCCCGATATAGCCCTGACCCCTGTACCCCTACCCCCTTACCTCGTACCTTTACCCCTAGCCCCTACCTTGACCAGTAGGCTCGTACCCCTACCCCCCATGGCCCCTCGCCCATTAACCTTAACCCCTAGGATCGGGCTACAGATCTGGTAGGGATATGAGTAGTGTATAAGGGTTGTGGTCGTGGTAGGCGTAGGGTCATGGTAAGTGTAGGCAAGGTTAGGGATCAGGGGTTTGGTGGGTAGGGGTAGTAAGAGGTTAGGGCGGGATACGGGTAGGGTCGGGATAAGGGTTAGAGGTACGAGTAGGGGGTGGGGTCGGGGTAAGAAGTGTGTAGAGGTAGGATTAGCGGTAGAGGTAGTAGTAGTAGGGGTAACAATAAAGGGTAAGTGTAAAGGTAAATTCGGAAAGTGAAAAAATTTAAAGTGCCACTTAATTAATACATGGGGGTGGTATGCTTAGTAAGCGGCACTTTAACCACCTCTTTCGGTTAGTAAGCAACTTTTTAAGCAGTCTGTATTACTTGTCTTACTAACCTAACTGTGACTTTAGCAGCGGAGTAAATACGTCTTGGGTGTTGTTTTTCTGGCGATTTGGTTTACGACAAATCATGTCTGGTGGATTTTCTTCTTTTGTGCTTCAAGGCAGGAGTACTGAGAGACGATGGTGCTATGAGTCTTATTTATTGGAATGGCAGGAGAACGAGAAATCTCGTTATCGTTCAGATTTATAGTAAAGTCATTACATCGATGATGGTAATTGTGATTGAAACGTTTAGCAGTGTTCCTCTAACCCTATATTTGTTTTCCTCAAATGTCATTGTGCTCCTCAATCTCTCTATAGTGCCACGGTTAGCCCGCCCACCTCTCGAACCACCACCACTTGACAGCGAGGTGGAAGTAGATTGTAAGTTTGAAGAGTCAATAATAAATTTCATTAGTGTTCATATCGTCGTGACAGATTTGCAAATCAAGATGACTCGAGCTAGGGCGCGGTATGACTGGACATTGATGACTCATTGCTATTTTATTTTTTTACAAATTTAGTCTTTTATTATTTTTAATAGTTATGGTTGATTAAATGCTCTAGTTTATTTTCTGCTCATCTTAAAAATATGCTTATGTGTGTCGTATGGCTCAAAGTATGATCCAATGGTGTATGGTCGGACTATGATTTTTAGTCGTTATGTATTTTGTCTTGTTCTTGTTATATCAATATAAGTGATTTACATTCAAAAAAATGAGTCTTTATCTAGAATAGATGACATCACCCATCATCATAATTAAATTAGTAGGTATATTTTTCATTTGAAATATTTCACCAAAGTAATTATTCTGTTTGACAAAATATAATACTAATTTATAGATACATATATTTGTGATTATGTGATATTTATACTTACTTAAATTAGCACAAGTAGTCAAAGCGTTAGTGTAGTTTGAAGACGTCGATCAATTTTATGATTGATCAATCAAGAATTACTTGGATAGTAATTGGTCTAAGGGTCTATTTAGTTTGCTATTGCAGTAACCAGCCAAAGCTGGGACTGTAATAGTATGAATTAGGTTCTTGGCCACTGTGATTATAAAATGTTCT